TGCTCTTGCACATTTCCTTTGGCTGAATTGCATAAAATGTGTTGCTTACTAGTACTTACAACTTATATTGTACTCAGTATCTTCAAAGTAATTTTTAAGCATTGATTTCTTTTCATCAAGCTGGAAGACAGGGTGGGTAGGAATCACACTGATGATGCAATGGTATCTTCAGTGAAAATTTGAGTTGGGGAGGAAAATATTCATGAAGATAAGCTCAACCAAAAGTTGAGGAACAGAGAAATCTCTTGCTAAGATTATTCTACTCTTATATCTCACAGTTCCTGTCACAGGTTACAATGTGACTGGAAAAAGGAACAGTACTCCTATTCTGACTCTAGCTTTACAGTGTAATTATTAGTGTTCAAGTTTTATTTTCAGAGATGACTAGAGGATTTAGGAGGCAGATTCTGCTGATTATTCTGCATGAATTAGGAGCAAGAGAAGCTGGCTCAGCTCTGGAAAGCACTTGAGAATGTTCCTGTTTTGGATACAGTTTTCCCCAAACTGCTTGCTTCCTTTAAGATTCAATATCAATTTTTTATGCTAATCCCACTGTTTCTCCATTCACTAGAATTGCAAGTTGCCCTAGAGTATGTCTTTCCTGGATGTTCTACAGAAAATTAGAAGTAAAGTTGTGAACTTTTTTCCAATCATACAGAATCAGTGGATGGACATTTGATTTGTTCGGTAGTAAACAAGCTCTTCATGACATGGGTTTGCAGATGGATACTTAATAACATTGGCCATTTTTCTAAAGGAAGGGAAGATGATGATGATGATGATGATGACATTCCCTTCCATGTTGCTATTGTAGGTCTTCTCTGTAGTTTCCATTCCCATATTCATGCTTCTCACGTGAACTAGTTTGGTTGCTTGCTGTGGTCCATGGTCATTCATGTGTTCCTTGTACAGAAACAGCAGAAAAATTTAACAGAAATCTCAGCCAAGCCTTCCTTAGAGTTTGGAGAATTCCTGTCACCTGAGAGTCTGCAGGGTGTTCAGTAATTTCTGATTCTTCAGCCAAGACACAAGTTGTCTTGGGGTCTTATGATTTCTGGTATTGATGCAGCACTGACAAGGCCAAGGATCACAGTCTTTTCATTCAAAAGATAGACCCAACTCCCTGCAGTTCCCAGAGTGAGACATGCTCTTCTATGAATATGCAGGACTGTGGTTATCTGAGGAGTTTAGTTTTTTTCCATGACTAGAGCTAAAAGAAAATTTCAAGCTCTTTTCATAAGCTTTCTCTTTTAGAGAGAAACCTTGCTTAAATTGCCTTAAATTTTACAGTACATATACAGCACTGTAGTAATAAACTACCCAGCAACCCACAATGGTGTTAAAGACCTGAAGTTGAACCTAAATACACATCACTGCAAACTATAAAAATGAATCCTTCATCCAGTTACAGTGAAGGACAGCAGTAATTTTGTTCTGTGATTAAAGTGACCCTAAATCATTTTATCCACCACAAAATGACTGGTGTAACATCTGCTGTCAGTGAGCAGGCCACTGGCTTTAGAAGGCAGCAAGTCTTACCACATCTGGCAGCACTTAATTAAATGCTGAGAAGCATTCTGCCCGAGATGGGTGTTGACAATCTCTAGGAGTGAAGGCACCTACCCACCAGACAGAAGAGCTGCATAACTGAAAAGTAAAAATTCAGAGTGAAAGAAAAAGAAACTAAATCAAGAAGTTGACTAGTAAGTATGAGATGAACCTGTGTAATAACAGTAATTCCAACTCTCTGTGTTTTCCTTAGCATGTGAGTGTTTTTATCCACTTGGTGATCAGGAAAACCACAGATAGTTGTCCAAAAATCTACTCCAACTCACTAGGAACAAAAGTAGTACTTTGTGTTCAATGAAACAGAAGCAATGAAGGAAGGAAGAAACACATGAAATCTTTTTTCATGTTACTGAAAAGTGCGAGAAATGGTAATGTGAGGACAGACCACCATCGCCACCCCCCTCAAAATAAAAAATAAGTTCACAATATACAAAGCAAAAGCACTGTGGGATATAGCCAGACACAGTAAGAATATCAGGAAAGAAGTGATGGCAAATCTCTAGTGGCTACTTCTGGAAAGCTAAAGGACTTTTATTTTTGTATTATTAGCATTTTATCACTAGCTGATTAAAAATATTTAGGATAATATTTTGAAAATTAATGGAAAAAATATGACAGTCAAAGAAAAATAAAGAAGAAAACTCATAGCTGTACAGCTTAGGTGCATGTAGAATATTAAGGTTAGGTGACCACAAAAGATCTGCAAATTTGACCTTCAGACATTGAAAACATTTGCAAATACTGAATAGAGAGACACGCAAGTAAGTATTTGGGAAGATTCAAACATGTGGGAGTGAACATGTTTTTCCAAAACATAGGTCATGCTTTTAAACATGATTATTTTCTCCAGGGACCTTGCAATGAACTTTTGAGCTGAAGCATAAGCTTTTTACTCTGCATGAAATTGGTAGTTTTGGCAGTATGTTGTGGATGATGAAATTGAGTAATGGAAAAATAGTTCTTGTCCCATAGCTGATCCAGGCTGATCAGAATAGACAGCTGTGTGAATGTGTGATGAGTCTGGATCCGATCACCTCTCTTTGGACAAACAGGATTTGTAAAATGTGGTATAAAATTTGGTGGCGTGTCATTCCAAAAGAAGAAGATGTGATTTACAGGTGCAAAGCCTGATGGGTTTCTTCTAATTAAACATCAAAAACTATTGTAAAATAGCATTTCAAAACCAGGTGTGTTGTGCTGTGTTTTAGACATTAGATTCCGAGATGGACATCAAAGTAGTTGGGAAGGGAAATTTTAATGAGAAGTGCTAAATTACTGCAGGGTTGAGGTTGCTCAAAACTTGTATGGAAAGCTCAGAACAGTGTTTCTGCACTAGCAGGTGATGCTCTAGGGAGGGCAAAGAGAAGATGGGTTTTTGCAGAGGTGTTGAGGGCAAAGAGAAGATGGGTTTTTGCAACAATGGGTTCTAACACTCAGCAGCAGCAGCACAGACTGGGCTATCAATTCAGGAAGGCACAGAAGTTACTGACAGAATTAGAAGCTGAAAACAAGCATATTTCAAGTCAGATGTTTACAGGGCAACGTTTGATGGAGTGTGAGGTAAGGCAGGCAGGTATTCTTTCTTGAAACTCATTTTTTTAACGGGCTTTCTCTTAGGTTAAATTAGTGCTGTGTAGTGTGCTGGTCCATTTTCAGCTGGAAGCAACCTGCTTATTAACAACAGCAGAACTTCTTCGAAGCTTTATTGCTGTTCTTTACCCTTCACTGTCTTGTCCTTGTTCTGCCTGAGCAGAGGCTATCAATTTAACTGAAGTGGTTTACAGTCTCAATTAAACCTGCAGTCTGTAAAAAATACTTGCTTTTTATTTCGTAAGTCAGCAGTCAAGCCCACGTTGCCCAGAGCAGAAGTTAGCACAGGCTGAGGTTGGATGTGGAGCATTCTGAAGCTGCACACTAATAAATCTTGTAATTGGCTTGGTAGCTTTTATGAAGCATGAATCTAGTAATTTCAGTGCTCTAAAATCCAGGGATTGCCATAACTGAAATAAAGTCATACCTTATAAGTCACTAATAAATAACATTTGACAACTGATTAAATCCTAATCAGATTTGCTGTACATGATTTCCTAAGAGACTTTAATAATTTACAAAGTGCTGCAACACTTTTCTGAATACTTTTAATTATATGGACAGACTTCATTTTTGTTTATATATTTTTAAGCAAAATGTACTACTATAATACAGTATCTTTCTCTGCTTCAGTATTACAAAATGAACTTGTACTATTATCAGGTGTATTAAGATATAATTGGTATTCCATCCTTTGCTAGATTATCTCCTGTTATTTTGTCTTTTCATCAGATTGTTAATTTGTCTTGATCTATTAATTTAATAAATTATTTTAAGAGTATTAAGATAATCTATGAAGTAATATATAATCTTTCTGAGTGCAAAATGTTTCAGTTTTAAAGGGAAGTTATATTTTTCCTAGAAAATCTCCTAGTACTGTATTTAAGGCTCTTAACCTTTTTAGTTTCACAGTCAGCCATTGATTCTATTTGATTTCAACATGCAGACATTGTTGACTGTATAACTAGAAACAGAGTTATGTCTATCAGAAAACTTGATCAAGAAGTTGACATGGTTGTCTACAGAGCTGCAACTCCTAAATTTTAGGTTGATGTGAATGGAAACCGAGATTGAGTGGTGTCATGAGTGGTGTTCTGCGTGTTTAAAAATAGGGGGAGAAGAGTGTAACCTCTTTTTAATGCACTCATACTTGAAGAGTGATTTTACTGTGACAAACTCAAAAAGTACATTTTTATTTGTCAGGTGCTTAAGAAAATTATTGACTTGAACACTTTGAAAGGTCATTATTTTTAATGCAGTAGTGCACAAATTGTGCAGCTGTGTCCAGATAAGATGGTATGTGTTCCATCCTGAAAAGTTTCAAAGAAAAATGAAGATAGTTTAAAATAGTAATGCAAATTAATAGGTTTTGTTAGTTCCTTCTTTTTGTTTTGTGCCTTTCCTTAAGAGCCATCCCTGGGATAATATTATATGAAACATGCAGTTGTAAAATTATGCCCAGTTACTGTTGAAAGTGCTTTGATCATTGTTGAGTCATGCTGACTGAAAGAGTCCACAGGTTTATGTATAAAAAAAGTGTTTGCAAATTTTCTCTTCTTATTTAACCATTGTCTGCATTTTTACAGGAATTTTGGTGAAAAAATTGCTGAGAGATGTATGCACTTGATTTAAATTCATTATGTTGCTGTTGTTACTATCTGTTCAAGAAACACTTTAAAGTTGTTACGTACTCACTGAACAGTTCTAGGTGGTGTCCTGTTTTCATATGCTTTAACAGGCACAGATATATTTTTTAAAGCATTGAGTTAAAAACAAGACAGAAAAAAAAAGAACCTAAATGAAGGTGTTTTTTTTCTAATTCCACAGGTACAGAGTTGTGGTATCGTATCCTCCTCAGAGTGAAGCAGAACTTGAACTGAAGGAAGGTGACATTGTTTTTGTACACAAAAAACGTGAGGATGGCTGGTTCAAGGGCACTCTGCAGCGCAACGGCAAGACTGGCCTTTTCCCAGGCAGCTTTGTAGAGAACGTTTGAGAAGATTCATTCCAAGAGCTTCAGATCATACTGTACTGTAAAATAGCACAAATATTTTGCCAGAAAAAGCACAGTCATGAAATATTTTCAAATGACTGTAATGCAAACAAAAGAATCTACATATTTTTACAGTGTCTATAGCACAATTACACCAGCGAACAAAGAAGATGAAGGCATCTGCTGGTTTTATCACTTTGAATTCTTAAGTGTGATGTGTGCCTTGTACTGTCTGATTTATTATATAGAGGAATTTTTTTCCCCAAGTATGTTACATAAATGAACAATTGTTTACAAGGCTGTAACTAATTTATTCTTTTTTTTTTTAAACTTGAATTTTGTGTAATAGCTAAAATTCTTGTGACTATGATTTTAACAAATTATTAATTTATAAAAGAATAACTAAGGGGAAGCTGGATTCTCTCCTTATGAGCAAGCAATTATATCTGATAAAGAGCCTCCTGTTTATCCTCTGGACATTTTTCCCCTGCTGTGTCTGACAGTGGAGTAAGTCTCTGTTGTATGAGTTAATGTTGAGTGGTGGTGATGTGGCGTCAAATAGAATTTGCCAAATGGGGAAAAAAATGTGTATTTTCTTCTTTGGACAGAGAAAAAAAAGTCAGTGGTGTTCTTGAGTCTAGTTCTGCTTCTTCATAAATCACCCAAGTAGAGTCATGTTTCCAGGAGGCAAAGATGTATGTGAACAACTGAATAAAATTCAACCATCTCAAGGTTAGGATCATCTCATGGTTAGGAAGGAAGAAATTTAGGAGTGCCAATAAGAAATTCCCAATACCTTCTGTTTATGGAATAACTTGGCTATTTGAACAAAGCTTATCTTTGTATATTTGGCCAGTTCTTTGGGCATTAGCACTCAGGATCCAACCAAATTGGAAGGTATGTTAAAGCCCAACACTTAGAATGAATATAAGTTGAAAACATCTGTTTGATAAGACTGAATATAAAAATAAAATTATAAGTTGTACTTAATGTCTAAAAATGCCTAAGACGTGTAATTTGCTGTTTTCTTCTCAAACTGATCTGCATGGCCAAGAGATGTTTTAAAATGTCTGAGCAGTAGTGGTGGTAAGTGATGCACTTGTGTTAAAGTAAAAGGCTGTATGAAACACTGTGAAAACTTTACTAACTTCTTAACCATTGCTACTTTGGTATGTTCTGCCTTTTTCTTTGTCTTGCATGCGTTACTCAATTCCTGCAGTAATGTAACTGTGCATGGTTGGCATTTTCCATTCCAGTTTCCTGTTGCTGGGTTATTTTGCTCTGAAAGTTTCCCAAAAGCCACTTGACCAAAACTAGTGAGCAACTAGCCTTCGACCACAGAAGGTGTCCAGTGTTTGAATCGTTAATGAAATATTTTAATGTCCTTGCAGCTGATGGATATAAAGAATGCAGCCTGCAATTGTGTTTGTCTTTCAGGGTTTTGTTAGATTTGACACTGGTGAACACACACTACTCAGCTGAACTTGGTTGGGTTTTTTATTTTATTGTTTGATTATAGCAGTTTGAGATTTTTTTTTTTGCAAGACACTGAGCACCATTGTCTACATTTAAATCTGATGTAATTTGGCTGTTACTCAGCACTTTACAAAGGGAAGCCAGTAAGGTGATTCAGTGTCACACAGTACACAGAAACAGTGATGAAAAGGTACACAGTGATATGTTAAATCCTTAATTTCTGTGAAGTTATGCATTGAAAAATATCACATGTTAATGACAGAGATTTCTTGCAATATCAGGTAGTATCATGATGGTCTTAAAAATAAGAAAAAATATTTCTATAAGTATATGTAGTTGGACATGACAGCATTCCCAAATTAACCATCTCTCTGAAACACTGTATAATTCAGTTTTTGCATTTTTAAATATTTTTAAATAGTTTACTTGAATATTCATGTAATATATAAAGGTTTTGTGAAATGAATTTTAGTTAGAAAGAAGCTGATACCAGCTTTTGTCAGCATAAATTGGCACTAGTGTGTCGTAATCTTATTTTGGAAAATTTAGTGCATTTTATATTAAAGACTACTAAAGGTTAATTTTTTCTATCTCTACTCTCCATATTTTAAACTAAGTGACTAAGGTACCTCTATTAATAGAATTTCATGGTGTAAAGTCAGTTAAAAATCAGCTGTTAATCCAATAGTTCTGTTAGATGGAATACATTTTTAATTGATTTTTTTTAACATTAAGTAAATGTTTGTAAAAAGGGCTTATTACATAGCAGTGCAACAATGACAAAAATGCAGTTTATCATGCCTTTTTTGTGATATTTTTGGGGTTATTTTTTGGTTTTGGCTTGGGATTAATTCAGTGTAGAAACAGACAAACCCTGTGCATTTGCTTTGTGTAAATCCATAAAAAAATTTTGTAAGGTATTTTATATCTATGTTTAAAGTCCAGTGAATGTTAAGTGTTTGATTTACTATGTTAAACTTCCAATCCTAATAAATATTTTCTTAGCAAACAGCTACATCAAATAGTGTATGCAAATATTAAACATAAAGTACTTGTAAAGAATTTGACAATAAAATTACCAGAACTTTATTTCAGAATCCTTAGGAGGATGTTTCTGCTCATAGAGAAAAGGCCTTCATATTCCATAATGTAAGAAGCTTGGAACGATGAATATAATGCAAAAATAGTAAGGAGAACTGAGCATCTGGCTGATGTTTTCCATCTCCTTATTTCTGCAAGTTACTTCAGAAGAGGTAGGTAACTCCATCTCAGCCCATTCATGATGAACTACAGTCTCATCAGCAGCATATCAGGTGCACAATAGCTATGAACTACTTCCCCTAGAGAAAGAAGTGTCTGGTATAATGGATCTGCTGGGTCTATTTTGAGAGAGTCTCCAGTCCTAAGGGTGAAGCATCTGCCCCAATTTCTACTGATGGCAAAATTGGTTTGTGCATGAGACTCGTTTGCCCTGAAGAAGTTTGCTGTGCACAGCAATCAGGCAGCAACTGGCTAACTAGGAGATCATGATTTGCATGTGGTTGCATGTCTACTATATACACATGGCTGCTGGGAAAATGGTGAAAAGTTAATCCTAAAAGTGTTTGCAAATATGTTGAGACTTAGTTAACGTTTCAGCTACTGCAATAAACTCAGCTAATACTGACCAGGACCTGGATTCTGCTAGCAGTGAATGATGCAGCTTTAAGTGCTCTCAGAAAGAAGGAGCATCTAGTCTAACTTTCCTTAATTAAGGGGAGTGGGACTGGAAGGGGAAGAGGAAGGCCATACAGTTTGCAGAAATGCAGAATAGAGAATATAGAAAAGCAGGTGTATTTTTTTTTCAGAATTGTGATTGACATCAGTGTATGTGTAGGAGAGAAGTACACGCAAACATCATGGCTGTGCAGTAGAAGAATGACTTTGGGTTAGAGTTTTTTTGTAATTATTGAATAATTCTAATGTGTGTCTAACATTTGGCTTGCAAAGGTACCTGAAATCTGGTTCCCCCTCACTTCATTACCTCTGCCTGATAGCAACAATGACAACTGTGCTAGTTTAGCATAGGATTAAAAACGTGGCTTCTGAGCAATCTGGCTTTTCTTAGAGGGCTGGCAAAATATTGTAACTGGCTTGTTCTTTGCAGTAGCTTTAAGCAAATGTGTTTAAAGCAGACTGGCCAATGTGAAAGTAAAGGCTGACTGGTTTTTGTGAATTTGCAAATAGATTCTGATCGATTAGACCTGCCTCCAAATACAATCATCAGCTGGAATATCTAAACCCTTCTTGTGACGACGTCTCCTAGAGCCTGATTTCTGTGGCCAAGAAACTTAGTTGATCCCTTTTAACAGCTGCAGAGCACTTTTATCAGAGTCAGCCTGATAAAAGGAGCAAAACAAAATGAATTTGCTGTATCCAGTCTACAGTGTGAAAAAGCCAAATTGTTACATAATGAGCACTCTATGCATGCCTAACAAATCATAGGGGTTACACTCAACATAACATTAGCAGATGTCAGAAAGTACTATTTATCTGTTCCTTCTACTATACTCTTTCCTGTCAGCTCTGTTATTTTGCTGATGAGTGGGAAAATCAGTTCGTAACTTCTTCACTGTTCCTACTCAGTGGAGTAGAGATAATGTTGACACGGTGACATTCAGCCCAGATTTCAATTACACTTGTAACTAGCTTGTAAAAATTCCTCTTAGCCCATGTAAATGAATAGCACTTGGCTGCACTGTGCAGCCAACTCTAGTGCCCACATTATGGTTCAGGCTCTGTGGCATGCAGAACCCAAAGGCCTTCTGAAGTTTGCATCTAGTAGTCGTTTAGATCAAAGCCAATTCACAGGGTATGTCCAAACACTAGCTACATTCTCATTTCAGAATGGTGGGAACAGCCTGTACGGGAGTATAGAGTGGCAATTCGTCTGGCACGTCAAGGAAAAATGCATTTTAATTACAAAGGCAGAAAGCAAAAAGGATTTTTAAATATCTGTACAGGTGTTTTCTTGTCTCTGCTACCTTAGATGGAACCCCATTCTACAAAGCCAGTGGACTGATTTTCCCCCTCCCCCACTTTCCTCCTTCCCAGAAAGGTAAGCAATATAAGCCCTTGAAAATATCCAGATTCTTTAGCATTAGAACACATGGTTGGACTCTCAATTACTGCAAATCAGTGCTACTTCATTGATTTCATTAAACTTTGCTGGCATACACTGAATATGCCCCCTACTGTTAAATAGTGAGGGGAAATATCTGCCTTAGAGGAATGAATATGTCTGAAAGAAACTGAGCTGGATGATTTTCATACTTGGAAAAGACAGAGCTATTTGGGCTGTGTGATCCTTCTCTCAAAAAATGTTTGTCTCACTGGTGCAGCCAAGGCACTAGATCAAAGATGATGCTATTTAGCAGCACTGTAAAGCACAGAAGACTTGTTCACTTTTCAGTCAAACCTATAAATTTCCAGATCCACAATTGCACAGTAGGCTTTGGTATGCTAACAGCTGCCAGTCCCAAAATCTTCTGTGGTTAGTTGCTGCTGCATTTTCTCATGGTGTATCTGCAGATGCTTGGGAGAGAAGATGAGTCAACAGCAGAGTAACTTTAAAGTGGTCATCGACTTTGTTCTCCACAAGGGACATGCCCTAGGTCAAATTTCTTACTTCAGCTTGTTAAACTTTTGAATAAGCTAAGGAATGCTAGCTTTAAAGAGTTTACAGTTCAAAGAATGTTTCTTCACTCCTCTGGTAGGCAGTCTGTGTGTCTTTTTGAATACA